ATGGGATCAAGATGTCAGAGTACAGAAAAATGATCAGGCTATTCATAGACCCCAGAATTAACAAGAGCGGTGAATGTTTTGTACCATTTCCTGCAGCGGAGCCTGGGTATCCTGAAGTGGTTGGTATATACTAGAGCAGTCCATGGGGGTGGATGCCTATCTTGGAGGTGGGACTGTTCTTGCTGGGCACTATTTTTCTGTAGTACTCTCCTGCTGAAAGATACTTCGCTGAGAGAGGAGTTAATCATATTGTGTATTATAAAGGAGGGCATGGAGCACTAGAAAGGGTTAGTAGGTTGGTGGATGGGACAGCTGTGCTTCTAGTGGAGAGAGCTATGAATTCCCATAGGGCAGGGTTATTGTAAATTTTGTATGCTAGCTTGATGCAGGCCTGCAAATCTGCAATTCAGCGCCATATATAACTCTATTGCTATATGAGATTTTTAAGCAAGATAGAGGCACAGTTCTCTTGTGAAAACTTGTCATATTCTTTCCTGTTACAGCCTTCCAACTTTGTGTCTTCCAGATGTGTTGAATTTCAAATCCCATAAATCTTAGTTAGCTAGCCTGGCCTTTGGGAGCTGAAATCCATTATATCTGGATAGCACTTGATTAGAAAAGGCTACTCTAAAATGACTATTCAATTCTCTGGTGGTAGAGGATTATAGCTAAAGCCTGTTCAAAATGCAACACTGATTTTCAAATACACAAAGCTGGTCTAGTCTTGTCCTGACTATGTACACTTTATTTATAACTTAATCCTTAACAGGGTATTTTTTACTTACAAGACGATAACGATGTCAACCTGGAGAAGGCTGATTTACATAGTCAAGATTAAATGGTATACATACCTAAGTTGCAGACTCTTCTAGAATAATTTCATTTTAAAAGTTAAAGTGTCCATTTGATCACAATTATATTGTTAAGGAAAGGAAAGAGTAAAATTGGAGCTGGGGAAAAACATTTTTAACTTGTATTTTAGCTCACTTCAATTTAATATTTTTCTACTGCATCTGTTTGTGTATTTTTATCTGTCTGTTGTTTGTTCATTCTTAAACATAGTTATTTTGAGGTTTACATCAGAAGCAGCTAAAATATAAGTGTAAAAGAAAACCCTAAAAACTACCCACTCTACCTCTACTGGTAATTATGGATTTCCTGTACCATTAACTGGTATGACAATCTGGTTTTTAGAAAACTAAACTGGAGGATTATTTGTAGTGAGTTTTGGTCAGCTTTTTCACTTAAAAGTCTTCTCCATGCTAACTCCATCTCCTCACTTGCTACTTTTACCCCGAAAGCCTACTTCAACTACACAGTCCTGCTCTTCTTGTTTTTTCCTTTCCTCTGCTGGGTTGTTCTACTGCTTCCTTCAAACATTTATTCATTACCTCAGGCCTTCTTGAAATCTTTCCTGCAATGGCCAATCACTTTTACATCTCAACTGGCCAGTTATTACTTCAGTGTTTGCTTCAAGCTCATTTCCCATTCTTCCATGTACTGCTTAACACTGGGCCCCACAACAACCTGAAGTCCCATTTGCCCTGCCATTCCCTATGAAAAAATACCGCCTTCCTGATACCCATCTGTACATCAAATAGGCTAGTGTGGGAAGTCCTTTGCTCCAAACCCTCCCTGAAGGTATCTCCTTTGAAATTGTTGCTTTGGCAATGCCTGCTGGTAGTTGTTTTACTGCCATAAGGTAGCTTTTTTTTAGGTCCCCACCCCAGGAGGCTGATGGAGTCTGTGTAGCTGGCCTCTACTTGAGGCAAGGACTCAAGGACTCAGTTCTGAGAAAAGGTTCTGTCTCTATGGTGTGAGGAATCTCTTGGGAATGGTAATCCACAAACTGACGAGAGGTAGCAAGATGCTAAATTGTCCAAGCCACCTACGCAGATAGCTTTTTCCTCTACTTCATCTTGTAGAAGTCTATAGGTTGAAGTTAATCAGTGCACATATATGAGTGCCTTATCATAGGTGGTGCAACTGGACATCAGCAAACATCTGACTGAAAACTACAATTCTCACCAGTCCAGAGATCACTGGACCCAGCAGTACTGGACAATTTTCATCTAGTTCCCAACCTTCACTTTTTGGGGAAGATTGTTGAGAAGGCAGTAAGCCTACAGCTTCCAAGGGCTCTGGAGAAAATGGATTATCTGAACTGATTACAGTTGGGTTTCAGGCTGGGATATTGTACTGACATGGCATTTACTGCACTTATGGGTGACCTCTGGTGGGCCTGGTATGGGGGTGGTGAATCTATCTTGGTCCTACTTGATTTCTCAGCAGCTTTCAATACCATTGATCATGGTATCCTTTTAGGCTTGCTGAGAGAGTTGGAGAGAGGCACAGTTCTTTGGTGCTTTTCCTTCTTCCTCCAAGGCCAGTTCCAGTCAGTGTTGACGATGAAGGGAAAAGCTTACTTTAAGTCCACAACAAGCAGAAAATATGTGGAAGAGGCTCAGACACCTCCTTAATTCACATGGGTATAAGAAGGGGAAGCAGTATAACACAATCAGATGTGCAAGTTTCTGTTATTATAGCCATTCTCAGCAAAAGTAGTTTTGGCCTTCCTGTGAATTTTTGATTCCTGGTCTGATCTACCTGGTTGGACTGACAGATGTGTAAGCACCATTGCCAAGATAATGAAGGGTAAAATGTATTTTAAGTCCACAACAGGCAGATAATATTTGGAAGACACTCAGTGAGATACTTCCCTAATTCACTGAACGATAAATAGTAGGATACAGTACAACATAATCAAACTTCCAAGATTCTGTTATTATAGCCAATCTTCAATAAAAGTAGTTTTAGCCTTCTTGTAGAGTTAATTTTTTGGTCTGATCTACCTAGTGGGGTCAACATCAATCTTGCAGGCATGGATCCATTGTTTAGCCAAAGCATTCTAGTAAAATGTCTTCCTTCCTATTTTCAAATTTGGATTATTCTACAGCTTCAATTTCTCGTTTTGATTTGGGATTAAAATGTAACCATTTATGTATTAACAATGAAATATGCCAGTCAGAGAGCCCGTTTGGTCTAGTGGTTAAGGCTCCAGGCTAGAAACCAGGAGATTGTGAGTTCTAGTCCCGCCTTAGGCATGAAAGTCAGCTGGGTGACTTTGAGCTAGTCACTCTCTCTCAGCCCATGACATCAAGCTCAGGAGACAAGCTGGTCAGTCAATTCCTGTCACAACCAATGGATCAACATTCAGTTGATCTGAAAAAAAGCAGACCCTGCACCTGTGGGAAAAAGGCTAGGAAGAAAAAGCAAAACAAAACAAATATGCCTGGCAGCTTTTAAGACTAGAAATGAAGATCTCTGTTTAGTATACTTGGACCCTAAAACTTGTCAAGATTTCAGAGGTGTTACACATTTGCTGTCTAAATAGTTTGAAGGAGGGGATATGATAAAAAGTCTCATTCCAAAAAATAGAGATGTTACGATAAAAGCCCAATGATATAATTGAAAATCTGATAATTTGAAGGCACTATCATCATAAAGTAAATTTGACCAAAAATATTTAAGGGGTTTCAGCCTGCCACAATTTTTTTCTCATTAACTTACTGAGGAATTAACATTGGAATCCCTCTTAGAATATTAATCTCAACATAATATTCATTCTGATAACATTAATTTTGCCCCAAAGACTTAATAAGAGTTTTAACTACCAAGTTATATCTACTAGAATTGTATCTACAGAGTTAGACAAATTTCATTCAATATATTGTGATACACTTTGGGAAACACATAAACCCAATTATTTTATAGAGTATTGTAAATCTTAATCTCTTACAGCAATCTACAGATCCCAAAGGTAGCAAGTTAGACTTGTTCCAGTTAATTATACATCCTAAATATAAACCATACTGCTGTATGACTTTAATAAGCTTGGTAATGACACTGCACCAGTAATATCAGAAATAGCCATAATATCATCAGCAAATAAGAACAATCTAAGTTCAGTGTTGAGGGCCATCACACCCATATTATCCTGAGACTGACTAACAGAAGAAGCTCATGGTTCAAGAGCCAAACTGAAGATTTGGAAGAAATGGGGCATCTTTGTCAGGTGCCATGATAAAACTTGATAGGTTGAGAAATGTATCCATTTGAAATAATTCTAGTCACTGATGGAGATAACAAATGAAAGATAATGGACACTCAAATCTTATTTTTCATAAATTCAAACTGAACCATATCAAAGGCCTTTTCAGTGTCCAGCAAAACTAGCAAAAATTGATTCCAATTTATTTGCTGCAATATCTGTAATATTAATCACCAAGTGGATTTTGTCAGATGCATGTCTATTTTTTGTAAGGGGCAATCCTCACATGCAAGAACTGAATCATAACCAAAGAGATGACTTATTGTTTCTGTCATGGAAACCCTGTTGTTCTTGCACTCATACAAAATAGTGATGGCATATTACTTTCCATTCCATAAAAGAGCAGATACATTGCTTTAGATATATGGAAAAGAGAAAAAGCAGAAAACAGGCAATATTATATAAACAAAAAGAAGATAAAATTATCCCATGCTCAGATTATTTTTTCTTACTGTAAAGATGTTAATGTTTTAAGGTCACAAAAATGGGAGAAAAGGAAAAAGAGAAAGCACCTGAGATGTTTCTGGCTAATAGAAATTACTGAAATTAGAAGGGAAAAGAATGAATGCCATTTCTAATAGGTATTAATGTTATTTAGGTTGTGACAACAGCTCTGACAAATTAATCAGGATGTCTGTTGCTTCTGTGATAAGACCATTCTTTAGACAAGAAAGCAACTGGAAATGATACTATACTGATTACATGTAACTGAACAACTTCTGAGAAAGATATTCAGCCTAAGTGCTCCTTATATATATCTAGCCCATACTGAAGACTTCCAAAAGTAAGTGAAATACTGCCACTCTTCCTTTGAGTAGGTGAAAGCTACTGGAAGATGCCATTACGCAGTTAATTTTTGTTAAAGTTAAACCAAAATGTTCTTACTCACCCAACAGAGAGGAAAGGTTCCTTTGATTCAAGTCTGTTAAATCAAATAACAGACAAAAATAGTTAAAAGTGTTGAAAAATAATAATGCATGGCACAAGATTTACACTGTATGCTCTAGCTACACAAGATAAGGACCTGAATATTTCCCAGGATTCAAGGTCTCACAGAGGCTCACTATCCCAACAATCCAAGCTGGTTTCAATTTGTATTAACACTCTGGAGTGTGAGAGTGCGTTTCCTCATTTCAGAACCATGATTTTGAAAATTTGCGTTGTCACTGGTTAATCAATCCTAGATATAGCTAGTCCTTTGAAATTTGTTTTGCATAGGAGATATAATTTGTTTGCTGTTGCTGGAGGTGCCTTGGGCTTGGCTGGTACCACTTTCTCTCCCTTAGCTATTTTGGTAAGGAAGTCCAGGAAGGGGCTCTGAAATCTCTGGGTGGAATAGTAGGGAAAACTCCTTACTGGTCCTTGGGATCCTATACAGACCTTAGATGCTAGACTGTTATGGCCCAACTCCAGGTTCTGTGCCTTTAGCTGCTTTGCTAAGCATCCCTAAAAAAAAAAAGGTCAGTGCTGAGTTGCTTCTCATGTGAATGTATTGAATGCAGGAAAACATTATCCAAGGGCTAATTCTTTTCCCAGCTTGAAACTCTTGACCATATCTCAGGCACAGCTTGTGTCTTGCTCCCTCACAAGAGAAAAAGGATCTTCTGCAATGCTTAGAGCTCCTGGGGCTTGAGACCCTGAATGTGACAGCAGAGCTTCTCCTCATGCTTTCAGTCTCCCCTCTCTCTGATACTCTTTTCATTGAGGCATTGTTTTTTCCATAAAGTTATTGTCTCAATTACCACTGCTAGATTTGGGAGCTGTCACTTCCCAGATCAGCTTATCTGATTGGCTGATTGGATCTTCTCTGAACACTCTTCTAGCACACTCTCCTGGCTCGTCCATGTTGTCATCTCAGTTGCAACCTGTGAAGCCCTTCCTTCCTTCCCAAAGTAGAGGTGGCAGTGCATAATACGGGAGGGCAGTGCTTTCTTTCACAGTACAGGAAAACAACTTCAGCCCTATCTTCTTGCTAGCAGAGATAGAATTAACCTTTCCTGTTGATTCCATCTCTGGTTACCAAGAAAATCCAGGATGAAATCTCAATCCTGCCATTAATATTGAAGGTTACTTCATTTGGCTATTGTGGGGATCAAATGGGTTGGAGAGATCTTGGTGGAAAACCCAAATGAAAGAAATACATTTTCCAGAAGACAATCAAACCAATACTTTTAGCGATGTGTAATAAGTCTAAGTGATAGGACTTCACTAGGTTCTTAATAAATGCAACTGGGTATGTGCTTCCCTGAAAGAAAGAAGAGATACTTCGTGTGTGATGGCCTGTGGATAAAACACTATAATTAAAAACCTGTTTGAAATCCATTCTCATGAACTGAGATTGAATTTGCTCAAAAAATGGCTGCTCTCAGTTTGATCCTCTTTTAGTGTAAATGGTTTCAAGAGATTTGTAGTGATAGAGTAAATTACTTCAAAACATTTCAGGCAAGAGAGGAAAGCAATTATCTGTTGGCCTTTCATTTAAATTGATCTTTACATTAGTAACTCAGTGCTATGAAACTAAAATAAAAATGTTAAAATCAAACTACTACATGGAAGGGAATATACCCTTAGGATGATGTTTATGCAGCTATCCTCCCATGGCAATTCAGCAACCCAACTTTCTCAGAATGATTCTTCATGAAGAGCAATACTTCATAGTTTTCATGCTGCTGCCCATCCCCTTTTTAATCTAGACCAGTGTTTCTCAACCTTAGCAACTTTAAGCTGTGTGCACTTCAATTCCCAGAATTCCCCAGCCAGCATTAAAGTTGGATTGAGAAACACCGCACTAAAATATTGATTGCTAGAGCCCTCGTTCAGATTTCTTTTGTTCCTTCTTTTGGAACCTGATTATCTCTAGCTGCCTCTGGCCTCATAACACATTTGATTCTTGTTTTCTAACATTCATTTGCTGTTTTAGTTTGGCCTGACACAGACCTGACCTCTGATCTTCCCTTCAGGCATGAACTTGCAGGGCTCTGACAGCATCAGAAGATGATCTGTAGCACAGCAGTCTTGGGAAGAAACTAGGTGAACTGGAACTTAACTATTACCCCATCACTATATTTAACTTGTAGTTCCTTTCCCTGGTTTCTTCTCCTCTCCTTTACCTATGTAACACATTTCATCAGATTAATATGGATAAAGCACTGAAATTAACAAAGATGTTGGGTGGAAGTATATGACTAGCTGTCATCTGTCTGCTCTTTATGAAACACTAATAATTATTTGGATAAAATTGATGACAGCTGATCTTTTCAAAGTCCTTATACATCAACCAGCTATAAGTCTAACACTTAGCTTAGCAAAATGATGTTAATTGTTCTAATGCAAACGACCAGTAGCACTTTCTCCAAACCAGTTTGTAATAAATAGTAGAATGCCCCTTTGCATCTCCAAAGAAGAAGCTTCATGCTCTTATTTCTTGTTTATTTGCTAATATTACTATCAAGTCAGCTGATTATATATTGTGCTGACAAGTCACAATTCATCTTTATCATGCAATTCTCTGCCACACTTTCATTTTTGGAACAGTAATAACTCATTTAATTCAAGAATAGACATTTCAGTAATAATTGTAACCATAAACATAATTATACTGGCCAGCATCCCAGTAGTTGTTTAGGTTATATGAGAAGACTATATTTAAAAAAAAAAATCAGGAGAATTACACAAATGTCTTACTCTGTTTTCCTCAATGGATGAATAGGCAACCCATCAGGTTATTTAAGTTACCAGTGCCAAATCCAATCTGTAAATCAGATGGAAATGGATCTAGGTATTCAATGTGTCTGAGGTGATGTGGTAAACATCTGCTCAAGCACCTTCTCTATTACTTCACTGTAAAAGATGGGGTCACTTAAAATACAAAAAGTCATGTGGGAGTTGAAGAAATAATCTGATGCTAAGAGAGGTACTCTATGAAAGTTTAATAGAATAGCTGCTTTGAGGATTCTTCTGAAATTCTCCTGGTCACAGAGGCCCATTGGTCGGCAAAGGTCCTCTTTGTATATTGTTCTAAACTGTGGAACATTTTCTATCTAAAATTTCACTGAAGTAAATTGTCTCTGAGACTCAGTAACCCTGGGAGCTTTAAGCAAATAGTACCTGTACTAAAAGCAGTTGTCTAGAGACTCAAATAATTCACGTGAGGCCAAATAATCTTTCTTCTAAAATTAAAAATGCAAAGGAGAGGTCTAGAGGATGAAAGATAAAAGAAGGCTGCTGGCAGTCAGTCACTATCTCTTGCTTAGTTAGTAAGTTGTCCCACACCACTGAGCCCTGCCTACTTATGGGTGGAGTAAAGTAGATAATCGTCTGCTATCAGGTAATTCAAACCTACGTAAAATAGATAAGATATTCTGAGTGCAGAATAATTCACTGAATGTGCATTGAATTCAATATCCAAAGAACTGTATATGTGGCCGGAAACTCTGATAAAGCAAGGTCCAATCACACATAGAGTTCTCACTCAGGGGACAAGAAGTTGAAGCTTGATTGATTGACTGATTTAGTCAAAGTTATCTTACTGCCTGAAACCAGCCAGACTTTAGGCAGCTTACAGAAATGTCAAACCTTATTGCTTAATAAGGGACTGAGGACATGGTGCCGATGTATATCCCTTTCTTATATATGTGACTGAATGACTCTTTAGGTGGATACCTAAAGGGGATGAAAGAAACATGGAGACAGAGGTTTTGGACTGAAACCAAGCTGCAGCTTCTAAAGAAATGAATGCTAAGAGTTGCCACCATTTATTTCTAGCAAGGCTCCTATGCCAAGGGGCTGCTGAACAGTCAGATGTTGAAGCAAGAGAGAATATTTTACCAAGAAACATTCACTAAAAACTTCAAAAACTCTTCAAAGGTTCTTTAATCAACTGGTCAGCTTACCTGTAGAGAGCAGAAAGTGGTCGCTTATTTCCCAGTTTAGGTCTGTATGGTTTTGGCTCCCCTGCCATGTTAATGTCTGAAAATAAGCATGTTGCATACCTTAATTAAAATGCAGCATTGAGAGAGGGAGAGAGATGGACAGATCATGCATAATAATATACAACATTATGATTGGAGGGAGTATTATAGAAACAAGTTGGCTCTTTGCCAGCAGATTATTACTTCGGTCTCACATTCTATATTTTGATTTTTGTGTAGATCAGATCTCACAATCTAGATCCTCAGGCCTAAAAAACAGAACAAGTTTTTTGGTTTCCCAGAGAAAGCGGTGCTATAGATAATTTCATCTGACTGCCACCATTGTCATCTTTCCCAGAAGTGCACACAAAATCCACTGCTAGAAATATCTTTGATAAAACATTCAGAGGGAGAAACTTAATAGATATAGGGTCCCTATTTTTCATTTCTATAAACAGCTCATATATCATAAACTTTGAATTGTAATTTTACCTGTCAATCATTTTGACTTGTGTTATAAATTCAGAGGTACAAACTATTATCCTGTTTACTTCCAATAGTTCTGTTCAGGCAAAACTTTTTGGCAAAGAGAAAATATTGTCCTCAAATGGGGAGAAAGATAGGGAACCAGACAAGAGAAAATAAACACTGTCCACTTGCTTATGAAATCTGCTTATAAAAAGTCACAGCATAATAAATCACACACAATAATTCTCTTATGAGCAGGATCTTTTAAGGGGAGTTCTGCTGATTCCCTTCCCAAAATTAACAAATGGAGGACCAAATTGTTATCATGGTTACTTTGATATTTTTTTTAACCATAAATTACTGTAATTCCTGTATTTATTAAAAAAAAACAAAGAAGTAAAGGGGAAGAATAAAAAAAATAAAGAGATGGAGATGGTGCATAACTTCCTGCCCTTTCAGAAACACTGTTCTATTTCTTATTACTTGGTTTTCAAAAAGGCTTAATGAAGTATAAAAGTCAAGTCTGATATTTGTTGAGTTTGTGATTGCCTTCTCTGATTCCTTTAGAACTTGGTACAGTTTGTGATTTCACACAAGCTTTGTTAATAAGTTATAATACCCATAGGCCTTACCATGTGAAGAGTGAAATTTAGTTGATAATCTTTATATTTACTAACTGAATTCACTTTAATTAAAAAAATATTGTTACAAATGGAACTTTACACTGCAGAACTCTAAGAAACCTTCTCATCCATGCTACAATCCCATACAGCAGTAACTTGGAAGAGATTTAAGTAGCAGATTGAAGTCAGTTAGGACAATATATTTAATGCTGGCATGGTTTTAGGTCAGCTCAAGAATAGGTCAGATAGCATCTTAACTCAATAGTGGATGAGGGCTTTTCAATCTCATTTTCGGAGTGATCCTTTCTATCTGCAGTTTCTGGGCCTTATGGGACTGAGACTTCATTTACATTCTCTGATAGACATAAGATTCTGAAAACTTCCTTATTCAGACTTGTAGAGATTGAACAAATCTCTATGTAGATTTGTTCTCTACGTATAGGAACTATAATGTTCTGATTCTCATTATAAGTCACTAAAAACCATTGGTGGGCAATAAGAGATAGCCATCTACACATTTGTTCTTGCATTCATTGTTCTAAAAGAAAGTATTTCATTTGAATTTCCTCTTTCTGAGCTTTCCCAATTTTTATTTAATTTTTTAAGAAAAAAAAACGTAGAAAACAAACACATACGCCCCCCCCTTTAACTGGTTCCAAATGTTCACATTTCTATGCCGGTCATTGCTGAGATATATGACTGCTTTGCATATTAGCTATTGTTATCACTGAAATAAGAGGCTTGTCCCCTTCTGTTAGACTAGGGCAATGTCCTAGTTCGCACTACATTATATAAGATATTGATTGATTTTATTGTCTATTGATTGACATCCTCTGTTGCCAATTTGTTTTGTTTGTCTATGATATGCCCTATTTATACTGTATTATTAAGTTGGTTGCAAGCTGCCCAAGGTCACCTGTGAGATGGGTTGGCATACAAGTTGAATAAATAAATAAGTAAAGTAGAATTTTGTATTTTGTATTTTCCATGTATATTCTGATGTGTGAATGAAAGGGTTGGGCATAAGAAGAATGTAGATATGATTTCTAAATACAGAAGTAACACTTCTGCAATCCTGACTTCCTTAAAGACAAATCTGCCTCAGCAAAAATGTGCTTTTTTTTTAAATTATGTGGGTAATTTAGTTGAATAAAGCCACACAGTTATGAGATTTTTGCAGGGTGATTTTAATTAGCTATATGATACTATGCATTTTTAAGATAAACGTGTTATCTTAAAGGTTAAAAAAAGGTTAAAGCTTCTCCTCAGATGTATCTGAGATGCTTTTAAAACTGTATTTTTAAAAGAATATAAAAATAACTAATAATTCTCTCAGTATTACAAGAAATGATAGCAGAATGTTATTACCTGTGCAGGGCATCTATCTGGAGTTTGGAGATTGTGTACTATAATTACAATGGAAATTTCATCCGGTGACCTTTTATTATAATTGGGCTCTTCTACAGACTTTTAATATGGCAGTTTTAAGGTCACTGATTCCCAGCATACAAACTTCTAACGCTCAGTAATATGTTGGAAAAAATGCAATATTTATGAAATTGGAAGGAAAACTCCTTTAGTCATAGCATTAATCTCTATATTTTTTCCTCATATCAATCACTTTTTCAGTAGATGTTTATTATATTTCTATATTCTTAGGCATTTTAACATGAAACAGTTTTGCGGAATTTTTATCTTCTGAGAAGCATGAAAACCTGGTGTCCCCCTCCCCCTTTTGATGGCTCCGCTGGAGGCAAAAACTGTTAACAGACTCCATAATATCTTTGATTTGTTCCTGAATTAGTCAGATAATAAAATTGATTCGGAGCGCAATGCAAAGGGGCTTTTTGGCATGCTGTGGCTCAGGGGCTGCTTTCTGCTTTTTTTTTTTCCCCGCAGTGTGAAGCCCAGCCCCAGCCTGGCCCAGCAGCCAGACCGGGCACACTTTGTCAGCAGCAGGAGCAAGAAGATGGTGAAGGTTAGCTAGGGTGGCGGAGCACAGGGCAGCAGAGGCCCAAAAGGGCAAAGATGGGGGGAAATAGGCAGGTGACAGCTGTTGAAGCATCCCTGCAGTCATAAGTATGGACAGGTTGCCAAGCACCTGAATTTTGATCACGTGACCGTGGGGACGCTTCAACAGCTGTAACTTTGGGCACGGGTCATAAGTCCCTTCGTTAAGCGCTGCTGTAACTTTGAATGGTCACTGAATGAATGATCGTAAGTCGAGGACTACCTGGGGAAAGAAACCCTAGTTTGAATTGCATAGGACATAATCTGTACACTTATTCTATTGAAAGTTTCCCAAAGTAATGACCGACCATTATGTGAAACATGCTTCTGATTTTGGCTGATACGAGTTCTTTGTCCACTCCAAGGAATTAATGCCTTACCGACTGGGACATAAATCAGTTCTGGAAAATAATCTGGCTAAGCAGATTATACAAAAATACCATTGGACTATTTGGCCAAATGTTTATGTATTTATTTCTGTAATTATTGCTATCTTTCCAAACATTCTCAGAAACAATATTAAAATATATTTCAGTAACAACAAAAACCCAAAACAAACAATACAAACATCAAGAAATTCCTCATTCAGCTGGAGGATATGACTCTAGTGCAGTATACATACAAAACATCTAATCTATATACTGCTAAGACTCTCACTGTGTTTATCTGTTTGTCTGTACCCTCAAGTTAGCCCAAACGGTGCATTATACCACAACAATTTTTGAATCAAGGCACCTAAAATCCGCTAACTTAAAGAATGCAAAAAAAAATAAAAAATAAAAAAATCCAGGACCCATTAGTCCTTTAGAACTGAAATTTCCATGATGTTCAGACCATTTTTATTCGCAAAGTTGTGCAATGTCCCCACAGTCATGTGATTGTGATTTT